TTGCTGTTGCTGTTGCTGTTGCTGTTGCTGTTGCTGTTGCTGTTGCTGTTGCTGTTTATGTCTGTGATGGTATTGTTTTTGTTAGGGTACGTCAGTGCAAAGTTGACGATACATTAAGGTTCTGTGGAAAAACTCCAGATTCGTAAGCGACTCCGCTGTGTCCCTCTAATTTAAAAGAATGACTCTGGGCAAGTAACCCCTTTTACTTTGAACGTGATGCCAATGTTTAGTAATTACCATCTTACCTTGCATCATATGGTCTTCCTCCAGAGTTTGGTACATAATATCTATGCATGATACAAAGTAAAATCGTTAGAGCATGCCTCGGCCCGAACCTCCTTGAAAAGCGAGCCTTTGGTACTTTGAAAACTTGTTACTTTTCAATCTCCCCCCCCCCCTCCCCCCCCAAAAAAAACAAATTCAGGGTTTATCCAATCAATGTGTTCGCAGGGACACGGCGTGTAACCAATCAAATGCCTAGTTTTGACTCCTAAATTTTGTCTGGACAAGCGTTTTTCTGTCAGTTTTAGTACGTGTTTTAGACGACTTCAAGGATAAAGTAAGCCTGTTCTATTTGAAAGAAGGAATGTTGTACGAGAAAAAAAAAAAATCAATACAAAAGACTCGTACATTGATTTATTTCACTTTAATGTTTCCATAGCAATAACTACTTGTTTATAGTCATGACATTTATGCCTCAATTTTTTGTCACAATGTTTTCGAAATGGCAAGTTTCTTTCTTTTCCTCGTTAAAAACATTCCTTCTTACTTTTAGAAAGTAATTTACCCAAAATGAAGATTGAAAAATCTGTGAATAAACGCTATCTGTCATGCACACTTGTCCCGGTAGCGTGACGAGTTTAAGATTACATTTGTCACATTGATAATAGTATAATTGCAAAGTTTTGTAGACATTGCACTTAAACTGACGAAGATTTGAATTTTTGAATTCATGTATTTTTGTGAAATTTTTGTAAAGAAATGTAAACATGAAAACGATAAATGCTTGGATTCCTCAGTTTATGTGCAATGTCTACGAAACTTTGAAATTTTTCCATTATTAATATGACCGATTTAATCGCAAACTTCTTTTCTAATTGATGGTTTTCACGGCGGCCATGTTGGAGGAACTTAACAAAAGAATTGTCAATTAGTTCTTCTGTTATATCCTCCAACATGGCCGCCAAGTCTTTTGTTATTTAATTCTCTTGGGAATGGTTGAAAACCATCAATACATCAAATATCTTATGTCACGCGGCTACCGTGACAAGGGTCTATCAGTTGTCATTTCGAAAACATTAAAACCGTGTTGGTAACCATGAGAAAAACGTCATTAATAGGATATGTTGTCAAATGATATTACTAACGTTTGTTTGAAAATAATGTACTTGGCTAAACATATGTAAAAATATTTGAAGGATGAATATGAAAGGAATGTACATGAATGAAAAATATGAGTACACGAATATAAATGGAAAAGTGATAAATATAGGGCATATGAAAAGTTTGGTATTTAAAGTTTTTAAAAGAAAATCAACGTTAATATCAATGTGGCTCAAGCCCTGTTACACAGTAAAACTTTGCTGGAACTAGCATGCAATAGTCACGCAGTTTTTAAGTTGAGTTGCAAGGTGTAACGTTTTCCGTCTTGCCTCTATGAAGCTTTAATGTAGAGAAAGCTTCTCTCTAAAAGGTTAAAACTTTTGCTGCAAAACGAGTTTCACGAGGAACTTGATTTACCGTTTGACATTTCTCGTGATACTTGTTTTGCACTTAACGCCGGCTTCGCAAACAACTTACGGCTCCATAAAGATGTCACTGTGCAACAGAGCCGCGTATCCTTGTTATTTACGTTCAGCCAAAGATATCCAGGCAAATGAACAGTTTGGTCAACGGCGGATGGAGGAAACAAAGGGGTAAAAAAACATTTGCAAATAAAAACAGCAAATGTGATGAATTTTTATCATACTTACAATCAAATAAGTGGGCACCATTTTGGTCTAGTCAAAATTTGATGACACAAGCAGGTCGTAAAAGAGAATTTTTTGTAAGATAGAATCTATCATTTGCCTGCAAAACCTTTAGCAAACGTGAAACATAAGCTTAGTTATTCAACCTAGTTGATGGTGCTACGAAGCGCTGGGTTCTGTACAGGTTCGGTGGGAGTTGTCGCTTGGCCTTTGTTTCACTTTTCTTTTCAAGTATTTCAGTCAAATCTCTCACCAGTCGACGAAGCTTTCCTTTAGACTTAATTTGAACAAACATAGCTGATTAATGAGAGAAGGCGCTTTTGCTTGAAATGGCCTGAAATGGCTACTAGCTGGTACTAACAGGCCACGTGAGCTTGACCTCCTTAAGCGAAGCTGTTGTGTAAAAGTAAAGCCCAAAATGCAGAGCTTGATATTATGAATGTATTTTGATGTATTGAAAATCCGCTTGGAAAGCAAGAGCTTACACAACTGCTTCGCTTAATTAATAGGGCGGGGAAGTGCCACATGAGATGTTACTTCATTTGGCTTATTATATGACACTAACAACTGGCTTATTATATGACACTTATACTAATCATTGTATCAATAATTAATAATATCAACAGAACGCTACCCATAGCAACCCATAGCAATATCTAAAAAGGGCACTATCATATGCCTTAGTAGGCAATAGCCAGTCCCCTTGAAATCATTCTGGATCCTCCTGCAAACTACACTAACTACACTCAACTCACATGTCGATTCTAGGGAGGGGTAAAACAAACAAAATCAGGGGAAAGCCCTCGTGGCAAAGAAAAAACTTGGATTAAAATATATTCAGCTCATGTTTGGTGCTTGAGTTGATGGTTGATTCACAGGCGACATCTTATTTATATAAAGTAAGGTCAGTTAAGCGATACGAAAACGGTAATAAAGCATCTACTCCCAGATACACGCTACAATCCGTAGAATCTGCACCTACCTTTTCTTCATTTTCAGGATTTTTGGCCACATGTTCTCGAGTTGTCTGCACATCAACATTAACGCTCGGTGATCCAACATGGATGTTGTGGGCTGGATGGTACTGTGGGATCAAAGCTGCGGCGTAACCCAGGGGATAGTGAGGGACCTAAGATAATAACAAATGCAAAGTTGATAATGTTATACAAAGTATCTTGGCATAACATTTGATTATAATAAGATGGATGTTACTGTGGGATCAAAGCTGCGGTGTACACGTCAAATTGTGTCACAGCTACATACTACGTTTATAACATAGCAACATAGGATGCCATCATACCGTACTGATGTCATATTTATTGAAATAAGTGTTAAGGGTTGTATAAAGAAAACAAAGACTTACTGCAGCAAAATGCTGAAGAGGTACGATTGGATGTGCCAGCGTATTATACAAGGGCATTATATTCTGTCCCAATGGGATAGGATAAGCTACTGACTGTTTCTTGGTCGCTCTGGCACCCTCCTGATTTGGTATGTTTGTTCTTCTGGATTGCATTTCACCCATTGTCGTAAAGCCGTTTCCTTCATCTGCTGGCGGGTTTCCTGCGTCGCCTAGATTTTGACCTTCCCCTTCAGGATTAAGATGGAAATTCTGGATCAGTTCTCCGGGGTTGTTGGTGTCCTCTGTTGAATATTGTGCCGAATATTCGGGGAACTGTGATTTAGAGTTCTCTATCTGCTGTGTCAGGTCGTTTTGTATTCCAGGAATGGCGGTGGTTGCGTCATTTCCTCCAAGGCTTGTCATACCAGCACCGTCGAATGTGTTCCCAAATAACGAGCTTTGTCCACCAGCTTCATTCCCTGGGCTTTCGATCTCTTGGCGAGCTTTTGCCGGAACATCTTTATCGGTTTGTTTCTTAGGTGTCTTTGAACGGCAGCCACAGTCTCCACATTCCCCACAACCACCGCAACCACCACAACCACCGCAACCACCATACCCTACACCACCATATCCAAACCCACAACCACAGCCTGGATATACCACCCCTCCCCATCCATAGCACCCAGGATGATAGCCAATCACCTGCCTACTTTGGGGGTTTTCGTCCTTCTTGCTTTGTTTGTTTGGCGACACGTTTGTTCGACGGAAGGGACCAAATACTGAAGGGTTCCCAAAGGGACCAAATTCAGCAGGGCCCATAAAGGTGTTAGGGAATGAAGTAGGGTAGAATCCACCAAATCCCCAGGGTCCAAATGGCCCATGTGCGTATGATCCTGCATAAGACCCAGGATATGGATCTGGACCGCCGTATAGACCACCATAAAGTCCCGGTCCATAACCTCCGTAGGCTGCACCTCCCCATCCATATACTCCAGGATGATACCCATCGACAAAGTTCCTCGTCACTGGAGATGCACCTCCTGGACCCTCCGGGATATTTGATCTATAGAATCCATGACCTGCACCTACATGTCCTGCACCCCATCCAATAGGGCCCGGGTTAGCCCATCCGTGAGCCCATCCTGATCCCCACCCAGGATATCCCGAATTACCAACTCCCCATCCACCCCAACCACCTGAATATCCTGGCCACCATCTCTTACTGCCTACAATCTCAGCTCCTGGTGCGGGGATTGCAGACCGAATGAACGCAGGACTAAAGCCACCATATCCATATCCACCGAAGCCACCATAGCCAATTCCTGGCCCTCCATACCCAAATCCCGTTCCCCATCCGGGATATCCAGCATTACCCAAGCCCCAACCTCCCCAACCACCACTGTACCCAGGCCACCATCGTTTACTCAAGGCTGCAGAAGACTTGACCTCAGATTTTTTGCCTTTTGGTACTTTGGATTTGTAGTGACTAAAGCTGGGATAGCCTGACCAACCTCCCCCGAGCGAAGCAGCGAAACCATGGCCAGGAAAAATACCGTGTCCAGGCCACAGAGAAGTGGTTCCCCAGGAGTGACCACCATGGTATGGACCGTGGTGAATGGCATCGATCACAAACTGTTTCTTGTTTGCTTTCTTTGAATCTGATGCTGTTGCGATAAATGATTTATAACGTGTTCATAAGATATTGTATTACTATCATAGCTTAGAAAATATTCACATCCACTTCAATTTTTTCAAATCAAAAAAAAAAAAAGAAAAAAAAAAAACAGACAAAAATTTAATTTGTTTTTAATGATAAAGAAAACTTATGCATACAAATCAAATGTTCTAAAGTCTTCAAAATTCAAATAAAATTTACTTTTTAAGCATTATAGATCCATGCAATGATTTAAATTGCAGAAAACGTTTAAGTTTAGATATCTGGGAATAAGTAATCTATAGAATGCAATGTGATTTAGGTGCTTTAGGGAGTTATACTCTTTCGTTCAAACTAACCTGTCTTACTTGATCCTTTTGTTATATCGCCTTTCTTTACGATGTCACTAACGTAGTCTTCATCTTCAAACCTTTTGTTTGGTCTGGCTTGTGTGGCAATAACCAAAACAAACGCAAACACAGACACAAAAAATGACAATCTTGCCATCTCCTTGTCTCTCTTACGATCTAAACTCTCTTCCTAATTCTCTAAAGAATGTTGATTCCTCGTACGTAAACCTTTGCTAGCAAATTCGACGTGGCTTTGAGAGGACACAAGGCTGAGTAGTAAGTGTTCCACATGTAAAGGGCACAAAACTATTGAAGGTGGCTGGTAAAACGGGTCACAAAACACTGACCGATTATCTCAGAGTATACACTTCAGAAGGTGGTATTAAATATTTACGATATGGGATGTTTTGTCTTGTTAAGAAAAAACAAGGTTATATGGCGATCCTGTTGTGGGGACACCAAGACTTTTGAGATAAAAATCTAGTTTACATCTAGTTTACTCTATAAAAGGCAACTTCTTAGGAAAGACCATGGTCTTATGAGAGCGAAAAAAAAAAGCGCATTAATAAAGAATAATTGATTTTGAAAGGTAATTGATACAAAATTGTTTATCCAAAGTGCCTCTTTACTCTAGAATTCTGGCTTCAAACATATTAATTTAAGAAAAAGTGAAAACCTTGAATACTTGGCAAAAATGTTTTTAACTCAATAAAGCAGCGATATAAAAAAATAGCCAATTTTAAAGCAGTTATAAATGTTTTATTATAGTGAACTGACTTTCTACCTTTATCTACAGGGTTTATAACCTGCTGGTTCAAGCTATTCCACGTCCACTTTAGCGCAGTTCAAAGTTTCCCACTCCAATGAAGCGTTGTTTGAAATGACTTCATCACTTGTTAATCTCACACCACAGATATTTCATTTTATCCTCTAAATTCCCTATTGTTTATGTTGTTTTAAGATGACAGAAATCATGAAAATTATCACTGTTGGCTTGGTGTTGCTTCTTTGCGCTTTGGTGACAGCGGAACAAGAAAAACTGAGTGATAAAAGTACAAAAAACAACAATGAGGAGACTAAAGAAGAGAACGATGATGATCATAAAGTCCAGGAAGACACGAGCGAGTCAGGTTCATCAGCTGAGTTAGAAAATAACGAAGGTTCTGGGGAATTCGGCTCTGCAGAAAGTGGCGATGTAGAAGACGAAATCCAAACTCAGATGCCAGCACCAAAACCAATGAAATTCAGATATTTTGGCATGCGTGGTCCCGTCAAGATTACTCCGATGGAACCTATGGTAAACAGGCAAAAACCATTTCGAAGGCGTTGTTTCTTTTGCTTCCCTCGAGGACGCTTGGGACGGGTTGAAGTGACACCACCTGGCGGACCGTATTTGATGAATGGTTTTGGTCCTATGGATGGGTTTGGAATGGGGCCTTATCCCGGTATGGGATTTCCTGAACCAGGACCGGGGTTCCCTGCTATGGGGGGCTTTGGTGATGGTGGACCCTGCTGTGGAGGACCTTGCTGTGGGGGACCATGCTGTGGGGGCCCTTGTGGTGGTGGAAGTTCAAACCAAGGTCCCATGATATGTAAGTATCTATCTTCTTATTCCAGATGTGTTTTATTACCTATATTCCCGGGGAGGGGGGGGGGGGG